AGTCCACGCTAGGCCCAGCCACGTGGCAGCCTGCCAGTCACACTGACTGCGGTCAGCCGCTCACCTGTCCAGGCAGTTCATTTGTGTGTGTGTGTGTGTCACACGGACAAGGCTGCCGCACAGCGGCTGGTCGACCGCAGCAGCACACGGCAATAGCTGTCACTGGCTGCCGAATCGACGTAGCCGGAACTCATAATGCGCCATTGATTCTCTGCAGGGCGACCGCCGCCGAAGGTCACCTGGTGGCGCGATGGCAACGAGCTGATCGGCACCAGCCACACGTCCGTGGAGGAGGGCGCCACGGTTATGGTCAACCAGCTGCTGATTGGCACCACGACGCGCGACTACTATGGGGCGCGCATTGAGTGCCGTGCGCAGGGCACACGCCTGCTGCAGCCCGTCACCAAGGACGTCACCGTGCAGGTGCACCGTAAGTGGAACCCTTTTGTGCTCGAATCAACTGCCTCACCCCAATTGTATTCACAGTGAAGCCAATTCGCGTCAAGATCATCACGCCCAACGACCTGCTCACGGCGGGCCATCCCATTGCCATACGCTGCGAGTCCTGGGGCTCCTATCCGGCGGCCAAGATTGTCTGGCTGCTGGACGGCGAGCCCATACGCAATGCCGAGGTGACTCTCAACAACGACAAAGAGGTAAGTGCAGCTGGCTCTGAGTTGCCTCAACGAAATGAAACAAAAACAGGTATTTGCAGAACTTTTACGACAATTTTTTTTTTGCTGTTCATGTTTGACATTTGATAGGAACAGCCCATACGCCCACACGCCCAACTTTGAGCAACTGTGCGGCGCTTAATAACCCCCAAAGTGCAGCAGCAACTGCCAGGACTATAGCTCCCGCTACTGCTCCTGCTCCTGCTGCTGCCGACCACTGGGTGACCCTAAAAGGCGACGTGAGCCAGGCAAAGTTTTGCAGCTGCAGACAAGTTGACTTCAAGTGGCCCGTCCGCCTGGCTGGCTATCCCTTGGCCCGGCCCCCGGCCCCCGCCCGGACTCTGGTGCAGCTCTTTGATTAAGTGCACTGCCAAAAACTTTCAAGCGAGCTATACAAATTTGCACTCGACAAGCCGGACGGACGGACGGACGGACGGAGGCTGGTCCGACTAATGTGCGAATTTTTATTTGAATTTATGTAGATGGGTGCCGGCCATTTGTTAAGGGCCCATCGCAATTTTTGTGCATCTTGCTGAAATTTATCAGCAGTAGTTCGCATGCAGCACGACTTCATTTGCCTGCGGCACACAGAGCCACAGAGTCGGACTGTAACCACCACAGCCAGGACAACAGCCGGACGGCAGTTTGGAAGACATGCGAACGCCCTGTGCAAAGACAGCTCGGCTTTCGGCATCCATTAGTTA